TCCCTCCCTCCCTCTTCCCTCCCTTCTCTTTCTTTCTCTCTCTCTTTCATGATAGGTTTGTGTCACTTAGCACAATGCTTCCAAGGTTTGTTGAGATTGTAGTTTGTGCCAAAGTTTCCTTCTAGTTTAAAGACAAATAGCATTTTATAATTGTGTTACCACAACTTATTTACCCACACATACATCTATCCATGGAATGGACACTTGGGTGGTGTCCACCGCATGGCTACTGTGAATAACACTGCTGTGAACAGGATGCACATGTATCCTGTTCAGAGCCTCCTTCCAGCACTAGCCACACTACTTCTCAGCACATGTCCAGAAATTCCACTTCTGGGTCACATGATAATACTGGTGTAAGCTTTGAGGAAGCCACTGCAGCTGTTCCACTTTTTGTTCCTACTAGCAATGTGCTAGTTTAAGTTTGCTTTTTTGGTTTAGCTTTTTGTTTTGTTTTTAATTTTTTCTTTTCTTTTTTTGGTTGTTTGAAAGAGGGTTTCTCTATGTAGCTTTGTGCCTTTCCTGGAACTCACTCTGCAGACCAGGCTGGCCTCGAACTCACAGAGATCTGCCTGCCTCTGCCTCCCGAGTGCTGGGATTAAGGGTGTGCACCACCGCCTGGCAACTTTTATTTTCTTAATGAGTAAGGATTTTGAGCATTTGTGTGTGCTTCTTGACCATTTGTATGAAGAAATATCTATAAAAATTCTGTCCATTTTATTTTGTTTCAAAGACTCCTCCTCTTCACCAACCACTTGCATTCTGACACACCCCAGGACCACCTGCCCTGGACTGGAACCACCAACGGTGGTCTGGGCCCTCTTACATCAACCACTAATCGAGAAAATGCCATACAGACACACCCACAGGCCAATCTGATGGAGGCAAGTCCTCAAGTGGCGTTCTTTCTTCCCAGGTAACCCTAGCCTGTGTCAAGTTAAAAGTTAAAAGCTGCTATGAGTAAGTGCAGGGCCAGTTAAATGATAGTGTTTAGGTATTTTTGCTCTTTCCTTCTAATAGTATTTTGTTATGTAGCCCAGGCTAGCTTCAAACTCTGGTTTCTCCTGTGTCTACCTTCCAAGTACTGAGATTAGAGCTGGGTATCACCACATGCAGCTTAGTTAGCCATCCTTAGGAAACCAGTGTTCACACAGCACTTGGCTTCGGAGATAGTATGAAGTCAGAGTTTGTGGGGAATGTATAAAGTATTTAGAATGATCATTTCATTAGAAAAAACTACAACCCAATACTCAAAAGCATTGATGCACAAGCAGAAAAAATATCATCACAAGCACTCATTTTCTTTACATTTTAATTGTAATGTGGAGGGGGCCAAAATGAAACAGCCACAGTTGTTAGCATCTCAGGTCACTTATTCAAATCAGCTTTTCTCAGTCCCCTAAGGAGGTGGCAACTCTTAGTGATTTTGTCAGAGCTTGGGGGGATTTTCAGTGTTTTGATCATGCCTGGAAAGCAGGTTTTAAAGATGCTGAAAATCTGCTGATTTTGAGGGTGATCTTTTGCACCTATATTGAATGAAAAACAAATACCTATGGGTGTTTCGGCCATCTGCAGCAAAGAACAACTCCCCAGGGAAGCTATGAAAGAAGCTAGCTTTCTCGTCCTTTGATAACTGCAGTTAGACAATGAACTGACATATTTCCTGGGTAAATAAGAAGATTGAGATGGGAGGAAAACTGTGGAACAAAATCTAGGACTAACAAAGAAATAGTTGTTTACAAGAAGAAACAGACTTTTACAATCTGTCTACATAATTAAAACTTATCTCAGAAGAGGAAAGATAGAAGAAAACTTAGAAATCACAGTGGTGGCACAAACCTACGGGATGGGGGGGTGTGCCAGCCCACAGAAGCACTCCTTGGGGGTTTGCAGAGGGAAATTATTACCTACCATGCTGGAAATAGATTAAGAATTTGCCCTGATTTTTTTCCGGAGGTGTTGCTATCGTCTCTCATATCCTCCTGGGTGAGGGAGGAGGCAGAAGAGCCATAATTGTTATTATGGCAGATGTGGGGAGGATGGTGTGATTAAAGCCACGAGGCAGAAAGGCAATCTGGTGTGAAACGGAGAGATCCGTTTGTTTTTCCTCCATCTCAGTCCATTAACCCAACGTTGGCACGAGGAAACGGCTCTCATTAAACACAGGTGAGGTGGGAAGAGCAACTGTTTTGCTTTAAGCCAACTCGAAGGTCAGTCGAGATGGGAACATGCACCTATTTGGAGATCATATATCTACCTCCAAGCCTGCGGGGGAACAGTGTCGTCTGTTGGAAAGTGACATTACAGAGAGTTGTACTGGTTTATGTGCGTGCACACAGTGATATTCCCACAGCTTAAAGTTTCCTGGGCTCTGCACAGCCCCTTCTATTTCCACTCATGGACACAATACCTTCAATTCAATTATACTTATCTACTTGTTGCTTTGAACTCAACTCGGAGGAGAGATAACAGGAAAAAAGCTATGGCTATATTTTACAGTGTGTTAGTAAATCCATAGTTC